GTTCACTCTCTGCATTAAACAGCAGATAGACTGGCAGATTCTCTTTTTTTCCCCCTTGCACTTTTCTTTCCTCCCTCCCTGTTTTGTTAAAATAAAAAAGCTAAAGAGCTCTAAAAGAAATTCCATTTGGCAGCTGTAGAGTGGATAGCGAACATAAAGAAGAGATTCCTTTGCTGTGCCTAATGCATGCTGCTTATCCAAATTAGCCACACAATTACTTCTATCAATGCAAAAATAGTTTAATGTTTTTTTCTAGTGCACAGCACTCGAGAACGACTTAAAATGCAGTGTAATTTGCCACAGTGTATGTCCTGAAGTGGCTCGCTAATGAAAAGAGGATTAACTCTCCATTATTCTGAATTACCATTTTGTGAAATCACTAACAATATTTTCATTTATATACATATAACCCAAGGGGGAGAAATATTCCAGCCATCCAAGTGATTAACAAATAAAAGTCATTAGATAACATGCACGTTGGTCTTATTTATGAAGAGAAAGATTAGGGTATAAAAATGCAGATGGCTGAATTTTTATCATCCTTGTTCTGATAATACACTTAAGTCCATCACAACGTAATTGGTGAGCACCGGCAGTCCAGAGTTAGTCACATGCTGGAGGGAACGGCAGGATGTGCTGGATGTCAGGCCTGGCAGACAAATTCTCACAAGCAGGAACATCAGAGCTGGTCCCACTGAGCTGGACCCGACACCCGGCCGCTGCCCAGCCACCGCAGGGTGGGTGCAGAGCGGGATCAGGAAGGTCTCAACCACTCACACAGCCTGGCCTTGGCATAGCGCAGCAGACAGCAAGAGAGAAGCTATGGCTCGGGCATGGGGGAAGAGGGTGACAAGCTGCAGATTGCCCTGCCAGGCTGGAAGGGAGGCTCCTGGCCCCAGAGGCATGTCTCTGTTCCTCACTACACCCTGAAGTCAGGCTCAGACCTTCCGGCTGAGGAGAACCTCTCCAGGACAATGGCAGTTCCCACTACCTGACTCTCCTCTTCATCGCTCCCCCATGAAATCAAAAATGCTGTCCTGTGCTGGAGCAGCACTTCCAGGAGCAAGCAGGGCACAGAGTCCCTCAGGCAAAGGGCTCGAGGACTGTCCCTACTCAAGGGAGCTTGCACATCCAAGGTTGTGTGTCCCCAGTACAGCGCGGTGCTGTGAAGTGACTGCCAAGCTGGTACAAGCAAGTCACAGCGGTACATCATTCAGGCAGCACTAGGTAGTCTGCAAGGCAAAGCATTTTAGCCCAAACAAAGCACCGCAAGGGATGGGAGACTGCTCTGACAAGCCTGTGCAGGGGCAACCCTGCATTCTGCCCACCATCCGCCTGCACCAGGTGAACACTGTGCAAGGGGTGGTCTCCCCTCCCCAGAGGTCTGCAAAAGAAATCTGAGCTTTCCTTGGCTGGGCTTGTGCTAGACAGACAGTCATCCTTAGATCCACAACAGCATTAAAACAGTCACCAAAAAAAAAAATATCCAATCCACCTTTCCCCTTTGATTCCTGGAAGGACACGAGCCTTTCTATCCTTCTCGCCTCAATCAAATGCTTCATGGTAATTAGTTCCAGAACTCAAGTAGCAAACCAGCCCCTTTCCCCCACCTCTCCTCTTCCTAGTTAAGCTCTGTTACTTCTTACTTTGTCTAGAGTCAAATCTGAAATACATATTAGAGGAATTTCAACTGATGCTTTCCTGTGCTCTAATTCAATATAAAAATCCCTGCAGCAGATAACACTGGCAAGGCATAAAACAACATAGCTTACTTGAAAGTTCAGGGAGCATATGTTCCCAGGACAGACAGAAAAAAGTATTTCTCAGCAGAGGTCTAACTTCCCGAGTGCTAACCAAGCTTCAAACTGAGATGGTGTTACAGTACCACCATTGATCGTTTGAGGATGTAATTGCCCTGTTTCGAGGTCTGCAGCCTAGGAGCAGAACTATTGGTGTAACACATCAACAGGCTGTGGCCGGAGAGCGTGATTACCAATTACATTGCTCTCTCTTCTTCTCTTCATTGCCTCCCCTCCCATTCTATGGACCAGTGAATAAAAGTACAATCAGTCCTTCATGATCAAGGAAACGCCTCTCAGTTAAGATAATTCCCTACTAGACAAATGGCAGTTCTTATCAAGTTCTAGATAACAGCCTGTTCACTCTCAAAGTCAGACTGTATTAGATTTGTATCTCTGAGGGTCTAACATTATCTACATTGTAGAGTCTGCATGTAGAATTAGCTTAATTCTGGCCCGGGAAGGAAAAAGGCTCTCCTGAGGAATGGCTACTGGGGGCACGGAGATGGGGCTTGGTGCTACACAGAGGCACGCAAGACCGAGCCCAAGGTAAATTTGCTAGAAGTTGGAATTCTCAGAGCCCTTTACAAATCTCAAGACAGGACCACTTAGCTAAACATCATCATCATGTTTTAGGAAGCTTGGCTGAAAGATAGATCGCCTTGCCAGGGAAAGCAAGCCAATTTTTGAACAAAGGTATACACATGCCAAACAAAAACAGACTCCACAATCTCGCCTAGCTTTGGAATAGAAAAGCAGGAATCATTTGGCTTTTTCAGGTTCTGCAGAGAACATGACAGGCATAAAAGAGCCCAAACTGGGGAAAACAAACCCCATGGGTACACAGGATGTCAGTGAAAAATGGCCATCCTGCTTGCAGGAGAGCTCTACAACAACTGCATGAAAGCACTAGCCAGATTTTTATAATTAAAAGGACACAAAAAACAGCAGTCAACACAAAAGAATTGTGGGAGGCACTACAGGATTTGTGGCCTGCAAGAAAGGTGAAATTTTGGCAGGCTGTGCTCAAGATCAAGCCCAACTCCACCTCTTCTTGTCAGAAGCCTTCTACACAACTGCAAGGTTCAACTTCTCCCTTCAATGGCATGAGAGACAAGAGGAGCTGCTGCCCTGAGACGTCAGGCAGTCCCCAGTAGGAGAAACAAGACAGACCCAACAGGGAGATGGAGCAACAAGGAAGTCTGCACCAGAAGGCTGGCAACATGGAAAAAAGGGAAGCTTGTTTTCAGGGGACAAGAAGGGAAGACTGTTAAATGACAACTGGCAACAGGGTAAATACGAGATCAGGCGTGTGGCCAGCCCCAAATTTGAGTTCCTAGAGGATTGCTGTAACATAAAGATCAGCCTGCTGACAACTTGCAGAACAAAATGTGCTTTGCCTTCAGAAATATGCAAATCCACAGAAGAAAATGAAAAGAGACATTACAACACCCATGCCCCTCACAATAATCCCTCTCCAACACTGTGCCTGGATCTATGACATGAGTATTTGTCTGGCAGCGTGCAGTTTCCAGTGCTGTTAATTTGGACTGGAAAGCTCTCATGTACACCTTTCAGCACTTGTCAGTCACTCTCCTCTTTCTTCTTTACTGAGAATACGTGGATATACTGTACCTTAGCTCTACCACTGCAAAATATTCTTCAAGTAATCAAAACATTAAAAAATCATCTGAAAAACCCTTGACCTAAACACAGCCAACATATGCACAGGGATACCCACTGACTTCTCCAGCCGGACAGTGCAGTGCCACACCTGCATTAAGGAGCAAAGCATTGCACTCTTGCAGCTGTACTGTCCTGAAAGAGGATGGTATGGTGCCTGCTGGAGCAAGGGTTTCTGTATCACACATATTTCACTGTGCTTTTACCCGAGATACCTCAGCAGCAGGGGATCAGAACAGTCACACACTGATGCAAAACCCCCATCTGTTCAAGAGACAAGAATATTCTTGCAGACGTAGATACCTGCCGTGTCCTAAGGCAGTGACTTCCTAAGGAATGGATGAGGGAGGTGTTGAGACTCAAGTAGTCTCTGGCCTTTAACTTCACTCACCAGCTCCGCAAAAAACTTCCGGCTGCCCCATGAGCTCGCACTACTCGTGGGGTCAGTGCCCAGCTCCTAAGTAAAGCACCGCCTTGGGAAAGTTGATGGGGGGGGAGACCAGCTAACTGTGCTGTAACTGTGGACTCCACAGCTGAGGGAGGCAAACTGCACAGGGGAAAGTCTAAATCAGGACAGCAGCTGAGGAAATCACACCGAGGAGGAGAGAATCTGGAGCTCCAACGGATGTGTAAAGCTTACACCAAAGGATTCAATACTAGCAGATAGCTCAAACACACGGGACGTGAAGGTTGTCAGCTTGGAGTGACACAGCTCTGATAACACGGCCAGGCAAAGGGTGTTGGTTCTGGTAACATCAATGACACAGTGATTTTAGCTACGGGATAACATTGCTCCATTGCCCCCTTCTATGCTACTATGCTCATCAGTGCTTCTTCCTACCCATTTGAGAACTGTGCTTGTAGGTTAAAAAACAAAAAAAAAAAGGAAGTCCTTGGTCCATCCCAGATAAAAAATATTTTGTCAGTCAGTCAGTGGTGCCACAAAAAGGCCAACCCCTATTCGTGGGAACAGCCTACGAGTGTCAGTGTGCAGGGCTGCATTAAGATCTTGAAAGGGTAGAACAAGTACACCCAGCATTCACCTGAACAAACGGGCTTAACCTCCCCGAGTTGCTGCAAATCACATAAAGGTTTCTCCTTCAGGAGATGTGCAACTCATGATAAAGAAACATCTTACATTTCCCCCATCCAGTTCCCCTAAGTGCTCTAGATCCCCTGGATCAGGCTGCTAGACCTACCAAATTCTTACCAGTGGATTTTCTAGAAAACGAATTCCCAGTGGAGGCTGAATTTCGGTGATCACAGACCTTCGGCTTTTGTTCCTGTTGCTGGTCAGCTTGTCCAACAAAGTATTCCTTGCCTAGTTCAGGGGAGGCAGAAATCCAGGTGTGAATCTGCATTTGTCGCAGAGCAAGTATATCCATCTCACACTACGCCGAATCACACCTGACCAGTGCTGCTCCCAGCATCCCACAACCAGAGCAGAACTCACTTGCTTTGTGCTTATTGTCCTGTTTTGGTTGCATTCCAGTTTCTTGCATGTTCCTGAGCACACCACTCCATGGACAAGATGTCATCAGCAGCTTTGAACGCTGGGAAGAAAAATCCATACACAGCAGTCAAAGTAGATCCTGATGAGGATTACTGTACCCCAGGTGCATTTGAATTAGAGCGACTCTTCTGGAAAGGATCCCCGAAGTACACTCATGTCAATGAAGTCTGGCCCAACCTCTACATAGGAGATGAGTAAGTGTGTACACAGTACCTCTGCATAGCAGATGACTAAGTGCATATAGTACATCTCTTCTACAGAGAAGACTGTGCTGTACCAAGTACAGCTCACCAACAGAGCAGGGTGGTTTTTTCCTCCTCCTCCCCATTGGCCAGTATTTAGCGATGATGATGTGATTTGATGAGCTACTGACAGATGCCAGAGTTCAACAGAACGACTGGAGCCTGCCACAGCCCTTACAGATATAGGCACAGTGTTGGTTGCTGCTGCTTCAAGGAAGCCCAGATGTGGCAGGGTCTACTGTTAAAGACTAACAGGAGCCGTTGTGGCACCAGTGTAGGCTGCAGAGGTTGAGACTAGCCGCGATCTATTTTTAAATGTCTGATTTCAAGGAGTAATTTGCCATTTATCTCTGAGTAAAAGCCCTGCCACAGTTACACTGACAACACAGCAAGGCCTAAATGTGTAGGACCACAGCTTAGGTTGGTTTAAGCCTAAATGTAATTTTTGAAAAGTGACTGAAGAGACAGCTCAACCCACAGTGGTATGTCTGCATTTCCAAGCCTGTGCTTGTGTACACTGAGTACTCTGCATTTCCAAATTGCTCAAGAGATTGAAACAAACAGAACCCTGTGGAAGGCAAAGCTGCAGAGATGCGTCCCACTGATCCGACCACGTGTGATTTAGGAAAAAAAAAAAACAAACCTACAAAACAGATATATCTCTGCTTAGCACAGGACTAAGCTAGGAACAGCCTATTCTGACAAGCAGAGGTGACTGCTGCAGGATGGAGACATGCCACCAGACAATCCCCCACCCCAATCCTGAGCAGAGCAAGAGGGCTTTTCTTACCCCTTAGGTATTATTGGTCCCCTTCCCATTTTCCTCTACGCCCTGCACTAACATGACATTTCTTTTAGATCATCACTGTAAGGCACAAAGCAGGAGCCCCACTGGCTCCAAAGTTCTCAATAATTTTTTTTAAAAGGTCCTAAAATTCATCTGTTGCCAGCTTATAAAAGAGGAAAGATATACAGCCTTGAGAGTTACCAGACTCCTGATATCATCAGCCAATGAATTCTGTGGCGCCAGAGGCAACAGAAAGACATACAAGAGTTCTGGGCTTTAACCAAGCTGGGGCTTCCACTTTTAGACTCACTCAAAAGAGAAAAAAGAAGATAAAAGAAAAAGGCCATGGGAAGAGCTTGGCCAAATAACTCAGGAACAAAGGAAAAGGGGGCTGAGTTGTCCTCTCCCCACCCCACCCTTCCCCTCTTCTTAGATATTTCTAACTCAAGACTCAGTGTAAAGAACAGTCTCTTCTGGCATTTATTTCCCACTTCGTTGTTCAAAATTCTGCAAGTCTCCCACACAACCAGGACAAAGGAATGAGAAAGCCAATGGAGAAGTCAAAAGAACTGAGGAGCAGGTGGGTTGAAGAAAAATAAAACTTCCCCTGAAAATGAGGTTCCCTGCAAAAGGAAGACTATTGTTAGCTAGGTAAGTGCAAAATTGACACCCAGTAGCAGAAAATCTAGATGAGAACAGGTCTGCATGCAAGATGCACCTTTCATTACCAGAAATAAACCGGTATGAAGCAGGCAGAGTCCAGGGAACTCTATTTTATCATTCCTCAGCCAGCTCCACATCTTACTTCTGGCCAACAGCTTCCCCTGTCAGTGTGGCCGAGCATTTTGTATTGTTTTATTTTAAGATCTTGCTGTAGCACTGGTCGCCAAAGAGCTGCCATGGAGACATGAACAGATGTTGGGTGTATGTGCATCCTTAGCCATGCTAAATTAAGGTTGATCTTAAAAGAATTTAGTGGAGCTCATCAACAAAATCAAGTGAACACACACATGCAGAGTTTATCTTCAGAGCCTTCACATCTGTGCTTCATTCCTGCCTCCTGCATTTACAAGGTTAACAGGACTTGTGACTGCTTATGGAAATGCTAATTAATTACCCTGACTACGTAACCACATCTTCCTTCTAATGCAACACAGGCTATCAAGGAGCCCTGTGAGGCCACTCAATCCTTTTGTTACAAGGCTTCGCTGCAGATGTTGCCCAGAGGCAATGAAATCTCCATGAGCCTGTCAGGCCCAGAATAATCAAAGCCTCAAAATATAACATGCTGTGTTCAGCTCCAATTGAAATTTTCCTCCAGCAAGTTCCAAGGACTTTTAAAGACCAGACACTGGAACTTGTAGGTGACAGCCCAGTGATAGGAATAAAACATGCTTTGCCAAGATTTTGACTGATCTGCTACCAGGATTAGTGCTTGCATGCATCCTCCTCACATCCAGAAGCCTTCTAAAGGGATGGAAAGCACCTTTGTCTTGCTCCTGGTCACCAGGTTACTGGCATGGGCAACTAGTGCAAGGTGCCCCTGCCCATGGCAGGGGGGTTGGAACTAGATGATCTTTAAGGTCCCTTCCAACCCTAACCATTCTATGATGATTCTATGATGATGATTCTAATCCCAAACCTGCTTGGTTCACCACAGCCACATGGAAAACCTCTGCCAGTTCTGCAGCTTGTACTTTCTCCTTGTTGTACTTCAGTGATCGCCTGAAATCGCCTGACCTGAAATCATGTTCATGGTCTCACATTTCTGAAATTCAAAGACTTTAGCTGAAGACAAAGGCCTCCCAAGATTTTGTTTCCTTTTAAGCATCCTCATCTCTCATTAGGATTTAAGGCTTGCTCACAATTTTGGGTCTTTATGTTCTCAAACTACTCCCACAGGAAAATAAGTCTTCTGGACTCAAATTCCTTACAGGTGAAGTATGAAAAATATTTTTCTAGATATGCTGCTGACCTGAGCTTGCACTTCAAGAAAGCTATGGGCTGTTTGTCCCAGCAGAGCCCCAGAGCTTATGGTCTTGAGAACTAACACACCACCTAAGGTTCAACAAGACACACAAGTAACTCAAACCTACAGACTGGAGTGAATGATAATTAAAATGTATCGCTAAACTTTAAATATATGCTTAACTAGAGCTCATTCTCTCCTCTTCCCTTTCTCTAGAAAAACAATAGAGTATGGCTTTTTCCAAGTGACTAAGTAGAAAGACAATTTATACTGATCTAGAAGAAAACAGATGGGACTCACTCAGGGTAGCAAACAGTTACCTCCCACTGTTTAGCATGATGAACACCTAGGATCTACACCAGCATTAATCATACAAGAATAGGAGCGTATGCAGATTTAGATCATAGCAACACTCTCGAGGACAGAGTTTCAACTCTCTTAGTATGAGAATCCGCCAAATGTAGTGGCAGTTTAACAGTCCAGAAAACCAGACCTGTAACACTAGACCATAAACCTTTTAAAGCAGCACCAGCTTCCAAGACAAATAACACTTCCACATACAACATCTGTCTATAGGTGATTTCTAACACTTGGCGAGTGTCTGAAGTCTAGATCAGGAACTGACTGACTAGATCACTTGTGTGTGATGCCTTCGCTGTATAGAAAGCAGAGAGTATTTCCTGGATCTAGGTTGTAACACTCAGAACAACATCCACAGTTTGGAGCTAGAGGAAAATGGACTACTAAATATTTTTACATATTATGAAGATCCTCTTTGGTATTTTCAGTGATGCCTAAAAATTCTTCTCATTCACACTGAGCAGGAGGTATCCACAGAAACGGAGCAACACCTCAGAAGGAAAAGGGGGTACAATGCTACACTATCGCTAGATTCCCTCAGTGCTGGAGTTAACAAAGGAAATTGGGTCAGTATTATTGGAAATTCTCAACATCTCTCCTCAGAAGGGAGAACTGCCAGATTTTCTTAAGAAAGTGTCAGTACTGCCTATATTCAGGAAGCTTCTTTCTGACACTGACCATCTGGTGAATTATCATCCTGCACTGAGCTTTCCTTCAGCGTTTAAGAAAACGGGAAAGTTTGAGAAAGACGATTCCTCTTCTAGTAACATGTTGCCTCAGATTTTCTTGTGTTTTGTCAATCTGGGTCACATCAATCTGTGGCGTTAACAGTCTATACTGAAACATGTTTGCATTGCTCAACCTCCGCATGAAGCTTAAGAGACTTGGCTCTACTTAAGAGCTTCTAACTGCAGCAGGCAGCTGGTGGACCAGTACCAGCTGCAAGGTGCTGACTTACCTGTGCGGGGAGCTGCTCTGCCACCTCCCTTCCTTCAGATGCACTTGCGTTTTCATGATGAGCGACCTTCTCTTCCCTTTGTTAGCTGCTTTTAATATATTTAGTACTTGACGTGGAGGTGCAGGCTGCAGTGCCTGCAAGTTGTTTTTCCCTCTCCTCCAACTCCATTGGTTTAGGCATCTTCCTGATGAGAGCAGCTGCGAATAAAGCTTGTTAGGACAGTATTTTTGTAAAGGGAGAGAAGGGATTTGGTACACCAGAGATGGCAACTTGAAAGGAAGGATTTTCTTTCACATTATGGCTACTTACATTGCTGCTTCCAGACGGCGGCAGTTTGCTACAGCACTTCCTTTTAGACCTATGAATCTGAGCTTTAAAACTGACAACAGGCACAGTTTAAGTCCTGGACAAGCCCTTTACTTGCCCTTGCACAACCCAAGAGATGTAAATAGTCTTTTGGGAACCATCTGAAAACAGATGACATTTTTGTTTAGGTCAGTTCTCCCTCTTGGTGATAGTCTGTTATTATCAATATATTCCTATGTGGAAGTGATTTTATCTCCAATTTTCACCATTTAGGTGGCACTCCCATATCAAAGTACTCCCCCTTGCCTCAGAACTTTAAAAACATGTTTATGAGTCCATCTGTCCTACAGTAAATGCAGGGCCTGATTCAGCAAAGCCCTGAGCTTTTGCTTAACATGCTTTGCTATAGAGAAGGACTGCTGGGTAAGCTTAGCTTTTAGCATATGTTTATGTGCTCTGAATTGAAGAGCTGATGAGTTTTTACATGGGACCAATCTGTCCAGTTCATCTCTTACTAAACTGAATTATACTGAAGTTTGTCCTGTTATGTCCCAGTGCCACACTTTACCTTCTCTGGATAGGAACACATTCAAGGCAGACACTGGAGACCACAGTTGCACTGTTTAAAGGGGAATCAAGTTCTAATAGCACAGATGGTGGAGATATACACAAAATGAAAACAATTGCAAAAGAGACAAGTGCTTATAGCTTCACCTACATTGGCATTTATAGCAAACTCTTCTTTATAATGGCTACTTAAAATTCAACCATAATCACAATAATGGAAATATTAACTGCAAGTTATTGGAAAAACAGCAGCACCCAAAGAGGGTAAAAGAGGAATATTGTTAGCTTGACTCTGGTAGTGAGCCAACTGCAAGGGAAAAAAAAAAAAATCTGTACCATTTCTAGTTGAAAGTGAATTAGAAATACAGTTATAAATCCTCCAATAAGGTATATGATTCATATACCCTTGAACAATCCTACGCTATTAGTCATCTCAACCAATTGGACATTTGCAGATATTTATGCTTGATTCATTCCTTCCTTTCATCTAAAATAGCGATACCTCAGGCATGGCAAAAACTACAAAGAAGACCAAAAGTAATTCCCCTTGGGACGTAACCAGGAGCATGATGAAACACCAAAAAAAAAAAAAGTCTGATTAAAGTAAACTGTTGAAGAGGGATAATTCCACAACAGCATCTACGCTAGAGCCGGTTGAGGTTGGAAAGCAAGCCAGTCCTTCGCACAAAGCTGGAGTTCACTGACGGCTAAAGCCAGTCCAAGCAAACATGTCAAGGGCACAGTAACATTTCCATTTACAAGCACTGGAGTCCCCCAGTGAGAGGGCTTAACAGCCCGTTTCTTGCTCTCTGTTAACTGGCAATCAACATGCTGCAGACCCAGCATGACCCTCAAGTGTAACTGCCTATATTATGGCACTGTCAGAGACTCAGCACAAGCCATCCCAGCCTGACAGTATTTATGACCAACAGGCATGGTAAAAAGACAGCGGAAGGGAGTGAAAAAGCAGAAAACCCTGGGTCAGCATGACAAGTGGTGGTCCAACAGGGCTGTCTGCCTAGCTATGGGGAAAGGCTTTACAAGGAAAAAAAAAAATAAAAACAGAGGAAAATTTTTGAAAGAACAGTAGAGATATCTTTTATGAAAAGATAAGTATCAAGTGCAAGACTGGAGGGATGAAGAAGGAGAAAGAGCATAAGTGCTTCCTAATCTCCATTTCATGTTTGTAATCAAGGACTCTTGCTCTTGAAAAAGAGTAAGCATCATTTCAGCTTTGTTCAAAAGATGAAGATTCTAAAGCCCAAGGCAGGCACCTCTTGCAGTCTAGCGAACTCTGTTTTGTACGCACAGTAACTTTGAAATATCTCTATGCAACATGATGTATTAGAAACCTTAGGAAAAGCTTTTCGTAGATAATATAGTCCAGGGTATCTGCTGGAAAAAAGGTACCTGACATTCTGTTTACAGATTACATGCAATAGCTCAGCCTGCAGATTCACAAGCCACATACACACAGGACCTACACTGACCATGCTCCACTTAACCAGGGCAAAGTTTTAGGTCTTGGTTCACCTAACAGGTTCTACAACACCTACACACAGCACAGTTACAGTATCTATTCCAATGAAAATGTGGAGATTTTAACCAATTTCAACACTGAGCATTCATTTTCTAGAAGTCTTCTAGATTGGCAACATCAGCAGTTGCACCCATATTATAAAGAAAAAGATTATATTGCGCAAGGTTACATTCAGTCCAAAAAATATTGCTGAATTGTTTGCATATCAAGCATAATTAAAAAGCAGATAACATTTTAAAATCAGACTATTCTAAGCATTGAGGAAAACAATACAAATCCTTCAGTGCCAAAACCAGTAGAGTAGATAACCCACTAAGGATTCCCTTGGCACACTTATAATTTACTTTCAACATAAGAGACTTCACAGAACATGATTTAGTTACATCTGAGTATTTACGATGGGCTTTTTGCAACAGCATGCAAGGTTGAGCCACTGCTGCTTCTCATTCCCTTTCCAGCCCAAGCCATGGGAAACAGAATGAACCAAGATAACAATGTGCATAGTCCCAAACTCCAACGAGCCAAGGGCCAGACAATGCTAGTGCAAACTGTGATGAAAAATGATCACTTAACTGCCTTGCCTTTAATTGATTAAATAAAAAGGAGGAGGATTTATTCCATCCTGGGCTACAAATTCACAGTACACAGCTACAGGCAAGACTGGGAGGTAGAGAGGGAAGTTCCCAGACTGCTTATGCAGTTAGTAAAAGACAGTATCCCTTTTTTTCCCAAAACCTACTGGCATACCGGGGCCACTGAACACTTGAAAATGAGACCTGAAGACACAGAAGGCTGTAAGTGTAACTGTCAAACAAATGCATGCACCCACTGTCAAAAGGTAATCTCCTCATCAAGGAAACAGGAAAATCGCATTTCAGGTGAATTTAAGTGTCAAATGTTAATGATTGTCACATGACCTACCGTTTGATGTTGTCCTTGCTCCCAACAACTTCATCATTTAACTTAAATGCTATTTCAGCAGTGCTTGCTGAAACCAAAGTTTGGTATTATTTACAGTCCATCAAAAACTTTGTTTCTCCACTGACCCTAACTATACTGCAGTCCTACATGTTATTCAGCATGTGAGTCTCCACTTCAACGCAGATCTCTGACCTGAAATCAGTCTTTCATGGCGTGTTGGATACATGCTTTGGGCCAAGTCTGGCGAATGGAAAACTTATCTTCTCACTCCCAGCATCAGGGAGGCCAAACAAGTAAGACCTCATCTGAAAGCAGAATTGGTAGTTCACCTCAAGCACATCAAGCCCAAGAGAAGTAGTTATTCACTGCACCTTTACTCTTTGGCCAGGACACTTATCTATAAGTACTGGCCATCCTTATAGCCCAGATCTCAAATGTCTTTGCTGGCAAAGTACATAGAGTATATCCTCCTAAGGAGAATCCTAAGGCACAAGTCTTCCTAAAAGGAGGGAGAAAAAGAAGTATCTTTCTAGGTCAATCACTGCAACAAGAATACAGTGGGAAGGAGCAAGCATTATTTAACCTGAGGTGAAGGTGGCAAGTCAGTAAGATACTGCTGCTCTCTGTCCTCTAGAGCCCACTGATGCTTCAGCAAGCATCACCACACTGGCAAGCATCACCACACTAACTAGTGTTTGTATTTATCTTGTAAATCATCACACAGGGGATTTACGAGATTATTTCATAGCAAAAATGTCAGTAGGGTCAAGACATTATCAGTCCTGACCAGAAAGGAATTTCTTAGGGAGACAGTTCTACTCAGAATGGCCAATTATCATCAGCTTAATTTAAATCAGAAAGAGCATAGGTAAGACCTTCAGTATCCATATCCCCGTTAAATGCTCTAATCACTAGGTTCTTGACTGCTCAAAGGGGGATTTTTAGTTTGAGGCTGGGAAGGTGGAGTAAACTTCAAGCCATTCTGAGCTGTCACCACTAGAATTATGAAACACAACAGGTAGCCCACCACAACAGTCCTGTGTGACAGCAGCTGCATTTACACATAGAAATATTCAGAAAACATTCATGGAGAGAGGTACTTTCAGTTGGAAAAAGCTGTTTCACATCATGCACTAATTCATTTATGGCAGCAGTAGTTATGTGGAAATATATTAACAGAATAAAGCCTACGCATTTTTTTGTAAAAAGCTCAGTAGTCTTCCTAAGCACTAATGAAACTTGACAGCTTTTCCAGCACAAAAACTTTTCAAAATTAAAAGGTTTCTGTAATGGAACAAAAGAAGTTTTTACATGTCTGTCCACAAACTGCAGTTTTGGAGGAATTTCAGGCTGCTAGCAAGCGATTAGAGTGGGTATTTGGCACACAAAAATCTAGGATTTCCTCTCCTATCTTACTTCCCTTGTCCGAGGGGAGAGAGGACAAGGATAAATAAGAATATTGGACTAAATATACGACTTCCAGCTTTCACTGAAGGCTAATATCCAATTTCCATATCTAGTTATTTTTGCTTCAGACCTGATTTAACCAGTAAAAAGAAACCTGATAGGGAGTTGTAACCACAGAAGAGTGATTTTTTTTTTTTTTTAAATAGAAATGGAGAAAAAAAATCAGTAACTTCTTTCAGGGATGAAAAGCTTTTTCGAATCCCAGATGACCTTACTACTCACATATTACAGACTCATTTATTAGTTCTGCAGTATCAATTGATGGGACAGAAGGGGAAAGCAGCATTCATGGGTCCTATTTCAAGTTCTGCCACTGATTTGTTTTTATGACTTGAAATAATTCATTCTATTTCTTTCTGTATCTCAAGTTCCTTCTCGCACAAGATGGATAGGTGCCAGTATTGCCTACATTACAAAGGTGCTAGAAAAAGAAGTTAATTTTTAAGGTGCTCTAAGGACCTGGGAGAGAGAGTTATGAACTCCAGAAGGATCATTCATTTGGAATGACAGTATCTTTATGATGGTAAATGTTGCATATTTGAAGTATTATCAGTTTCATTAACATTTAGAAAATAGCAAATCAGAGATTTCCCCCCCCCCGGGATTGCTGGCTAAGAAGCTCCTTCACTTACATGCAGCTCTTTTTTTTTTTTTTTTCCTCAACAGGAAAACTGCATTAGATCGCTACAGCCTTGAGAAGGAAGGTTTCACCCACATCCTCAATGCTGCCCATGGTCAGCGGAACGTGGACACAGGACCAGAATATTACCATGACATGACTGTGGAGTACCATGGAGTGGAAGCGGATGATCTCCCCACTTTCAAACTCAGCCAGTTTTTTTATTCAGCTTCTAAATTCATTGATAATGCACTTAAAAATGAAAAAAGTAAGGAGGGTGCTGAAAATGGTTAAACAGTACAGTATGTACCCTATCTCAATATAAGCTTAGCCTCACAGCATTCAACCTTGTGGGAATGAAACAAGTTTAATACAGTTTAACAGAGAATATAAAACTAGCAACAGGAAACTAGTTTAAGGGAAGGTAGTGATGTTGCTAGAGCCTTTCTCACCGTAGAGCTAGTATCAACCCAAGAGCCTCTTACCAAGCACTTTGATCAAAGTCCACATCACACCTTGCCATGAAGGTCTCCTATCTAATAGAGGTTTTTTGTTGTTTTGACTCCTTTATAAACACATCAGAGAATCAGACATTGCATAGGTTCAAGGACTTAGCTGCTTCTTTCTCAGAAAAGTCCCTATCAAGAAAGGTTTAATGAAAATCAGTTGCTCAGCGGTGGAGTGGAACACAAATCTTTTGCAGAGCTTTCAGGCTGTCACTCCATAGCTTCAAGATCTGCAGCATTAGATTCACTCCAGAAATATAAAAACCACCTTCCTACCTGGCCATCAGATCTACCCCAAGCTGTACCAGATGTGTATCTCTGCCGTCTGCCAGAGAGGCTTCACTCCCCTGCTGCTTGGAAGCAGAGATCTAGAAACATTTCATTAAAGCCTTTATAATTTCTCAGCTTGATTACTACAATTCATTATTTGCTGACCTCCAGCAGTATTCTATGTGAAAGTGCTACAGCCTGGCCCCACACTGGCTTTCAGTATCACTCCTACTCCTGCCCACCACATGCTTTTTCTTTTTTTAAATCTCTCCAGGATATTTTACCAGAAGCCAGCTGAGAAACTTAAGACTTTCTTTTTTTCCTGCTGACCTACAAAGACCTTAATATCAGAGGGCCACATATCAAGTTTCTAGCCTCGTGTCAGCTTCTGTTCTTGGCTGTTTAGCTCAGCTGCAGCCAGCTACTACCTGGCTTGCCCTCAGTAGCTAGCCAGGTCTTTAAAATTTTACCCTTTCAGCAAGTACAATCTACAGTAACAGTCCCTTCCCTTGTTCAGGAGAAAATCTTGAAAGCAGTTCAGTTTTAAAAATCAAAGTCCTAATAGCAGGAGAAACTGCTTCAGGAGCTTACTTGCTTGTGAAGAAAGGTACCTAGCATTTCAAAAAAGTTAGGTCTGAAGCGCTGCCTTTAGGAAGGAGTGGATAACTAGCACGTACCTGTGTCTAGCTATGGCTGGAGGCCAGAGGTCAGTATCAGACTGGAGTAGCTGAAATAAGAAATGCAGACTTGCGAACACCCATCACCCTCCTGTTCCTTTAACACACGTGCCTGCTGCAAGGAGGTAAAGAAACAAGCACAAGGGAAGCAGCAAAGGTTACCAAAGAAACCCCCTTGCATCCCCATAAATATTGAGGCAGGGAACGATGGGGAGTATCAACCTTTTTGTTTCAAAATGACATCAAAGTCCAGGAGTTCTCGGGTAGTATCAGGCATCAGTCCAGCACTGAATCACAAGACCAAATCAAAGAGTGACTGGATAAACTTGTACAAAACAAAACAAAATCTGCACTTAAGTTGATACTACCAACTGCCACCATTTCCATAACTATGCACAGCCTGCCACACTTGCATGGTTTTTAAACACGATAGCGAGGATCTTTTCTGATGGAGACTAATACAATAAAGCATTACTGTAACACTCATGAAGAAAAAGAGCAAGGTCTAGACTTTCTCATGAGGAAAAAGTACATTAAATGTGCATTTCCTATCCCAGCCAAAGATACACACAAAGGCACATATGCATGGCCCAGGAAGAGACAGAAGTTGAAGGCATGACAAAAGCTTTCCAACACACATTCACAGAACACCAGAATTACTCCAGATGCTAGACTAAAGAGCACACTCATGTCTCTTACACTTACAGGAGAAAGTGTTAGAGGCAAGTAACCAGTGCTCTCCTCCAACAAATAATGCATTATTTGTGAACGCACAGCTAGTGTAGGAAGGTGCTACGTATTTCACGTGCCTAATGCAAGGACTATTTTCATGCATCTTCCTGACGGACAAACAGCATCCAGATTCCTAAACATGACTTTATAGTAAAGTAACCAAGTACCTATCACCCGTGGTAATAACATGGGACTTCAGTATATGGCATTAAATCCTTCTGATCAGTAAAACCCTAACACTCGTTTGTGACACTGTGTTAGAACTGAGCAAATGCAGAGACAGGGAAAAGAAAAATGGTGTGGGTTTTTTTTTTTTTTTACTTTTGTGCCCAGAACATATGTATTAATGAATTCGCTTCAGCTGTATCACACTGTTTGGGGTGTGACCTTCAGCCAGCCAAGTGATCAAATTCATTGAACAGATGTCTTCGTACAATGCTTTTTGCTGGGAAGCTGCTTGGTAGTCAATGTTGTTGAAACAAGTTGTCAGACAAATGAATAGGCCTCTCTTTCTGCAACAGGCCAAAAAGCTTGGCAAACTGGATGCTGTCAAAACACAGCCCCAATGCAGTAATTCCGAATTAACCTTCAAAATCTTTGTGATAGCGAAGAAACTTCCTAAGTCCTTGATGAGAGCAGTATTTGCAGACTTTAAACATGGGACTTAAGAACAATGAAAGTAGCTCAGTTGTAAGAGTAAGTTTTAGAGGCAAACTCAAGCTGTTTACAATTATGCATGCTATCATTCAGCTCTGCATAGAGATCTCCCAAAACATGCAATTCAGACCACAGGACAGCTTAAAAATTTATACCAGCAAGGCCTGATTAACCTGAAAGGAAGACTTTTTTTTAAGAGGTTATTAAGTTCCCTTTTATGCTGCAGATATAGTACTCATTCCCTTGGCATGTAAGTTCCTCAGAATGTAAAGTAGAGTGGAATAGCATTTTCTTGTCACGTGAAGAGGTCATGGGAAAAAAACCACTAAAGGCTGAGATGGTAAAAGCAATGTGAGAAGAAACATAGGAGACATATACAAAGACCCAAGGCATTTGGCCAGACACCTCAACATTCATCACTCCACCTGACTCTGGAAAGGGAGTGCTGCATCTACAGAGGTTTTCAAGAAACACAAGCCCGAGCCAAGTGACCTGTTGCCACTCAGCAGACCTCTGGCTCCATGCACTGGTATTTTATATCCACCCACGCCTCGAGGATGTACATGGTCAGAATTAAAGACCGCAAGAGCAGACTCGGTCTTGGGGAAAGGGTTCAGATTGGTCCTTCCATCACAACTGAAGAGGCTATGAAATAGTACAGAAGGGACAGGACCCTGCATTTTGCTGTAACAGACAGTCAGATCTTGAATATTCACACACAGGAAAGGATAGACTTCATTTTCCTACAACCTGCAGGCATTTCAGAAAATTGTACAGCATTTTCTGCCTCTGTTAACGCAATATAAAACTGTACATTTTCTCCTAGATCCCCTTCATTTGCCACCCACACAAAGCCAAGCCTTCCTTGTCCTATCATGTATTTTATCACCTCGACAGCAACCCATTTACAAGGTGGGAAGCTCTAAAGAGAGGCATGAAGGGCTGAACAAATGAGGGTTTTCAAACGTTTCAAATATTTGCAGTAATAATAGAAGGGATTATCATTTTCCAGGAGAGGAAGAGGCACTTTTAGTTATCAGGGAGGCTGGAATTTTGCCAAGATGCCTCTAAGACTATCTGCTGCGATTAGGATGCAGACTGTAACCATTAATCCTCTAGTGTTGGCAGTTCTTGATGCATCCATTACACAGCAATGCTACTTGTGCCAAGACACCCTCTTTTGCCTGGAAGCAAAGGAGTTAATCGGCAGCAGTCATGGCTTTGCACCCAACACTTCTCACTAGGCATAGCTAACAGAGATAAACTATTATTGGCCCTGATAGGTTTCTTTTTTTTTCTCCTGTGGTAATTCAGCTTAGCAGGGTGTTAGAGAGTGTGCTCCAAATCTACTTCCTTCAGCAGTTCAACCCTTTGTGAGACCCCCTCAAGGGCTTTGAATCATTTTTTGAAATCTTTTGAAGTGTTTCAAAACCTGTCAATCAGACCTGAACTCACTCACTGTTCTTTTCCTCCACCTCCCCCAGACACAGCAAATGGGGAAGGCTCCACTTTGGCTTACATCCTTGCTAGTACCTGAAACCAAGGACTTTCTGCCTCTGGAAGTCCAAAATTAAACAAAGCAATGTCACAAAGCTACATCTTGAGGCACATTTCTTCAGAGATGAAAATTATTAGCAGAGACTCTGCACTCACAGTATACAAGACAGGCCACTACTGCAAGGAGAGGTGATGGTGGCAGGGAAATGTTACTTTCATTCAACAGGACAGGGTAAGGGTGAGTAACCAGAGATTTCTAAAGAAGCTTTTCTACAGCTTAAGAGCTGGTCTCTTTCTATCCCCCTGGTTATATGCCTATTAACTTCTGTGGCCTTTCTTATCCTCTGCCCTCAAAAATACCACTGAGCCTTACAAAAGCCTTGTTAGCTATATTTTTAAAAAATACATATTTGGGCATAAAGTGACACAACCTAGATCTTGAAGTATATTTTATTGTCAGAACAACAAAAAAAAAAATCAAATTTGGTTAGCTTTTGTGTCTAGCTGGTAGAAGTGAGAAAGGCACCTCTATGCATCCCATTTATCCTCATGGAAGGATGGTTTGATAACATACCAAACCCTCCATACCCTTGTGCTTTGGTCATTATGCCCAAAACACAGAATTACATGAACGCTGCTTGTGAGGAAGGTGAGATTAGGCTGCAGCATGGCTTGCTATGCTACTTACTGGAAGGATGCAGCCCCGAGGCCTTCTCTGCAAGTTGTTCATGCATAAATTCAAAGACACCTAGTTTAGGATTAAATGGGTAGTGTCCAGTGTGGATGGTGGTATTATTTACAGCCTCAGTTCCCCCACCTGTAAAAAAGACAGGCCTTACAAAAATACTGATCAGGGTAATAAAACCACCAAACAGAGCAGGGGCACTACAAAACCCTTCACTGTCAAAACCAGAAGTTACCCAGTGTCATCTGCGTTCTCTCTCTCTGTTTCCGCAGACAAGGTTCTGGTTCACTGTGCTATGGGTCGCAGCCGGTCAGCCACACTGGTCTTGGCTTACCTGATGATTTACAAGAACATGACAGTGGTGGATGCCATTGAGCAAGTATCAAGACACCGATGCATCTTGCCAAACCGGGGATTCTTGAAGCAGCTGAGAGAACTGGACATAGCGTTGGCACTGCAGAGGAGGAACAACAAAAACAGCCTACCATCTGATGATGATGGCAACAGCATCACAATCTAGTATTCTTCCTGGCAGGGTTGTGCTACTGGAAAACAAACTCCACAAAAGGAGGGGAGGGGAAGGTGTAGTTAATTACAGAGGCACAAGTATCATTTCTTATTTGGAAGGTAAAACAAAGTCATTTCAAATGCTGATAAGAAAGAAGGGAAGCTAAATTTAAAACCCATCTTGTTAGAATGTCCCAGCCTTAGCAGAATCCTTTGTGACATCAACAAATAAATTTTACCCTCTGTAAGAAAGCTTTTGAAGCCCAAAAGCACCCACAACAAAGAAATCCATCTTTGATCCAAGTACCCCCAAAATTCTGATTTGATTACAAAGGCAAAAGGCACAGGCGCAGCCTTTAAAAAAATACCTCATTGACCTGACTAACCAGGAGAAAGCTGCTGCTCTGCTTCCAGACACCACTGTTCATATTTACCACTACCAGATGTTTCCTCTTTATCAGCTTTAGTCACCCTAAAACATTCTTGTGCTCTAATACAGTTGCTAATAATTGCATTTGTTGACAGAGGTAGTCCAAATACACAAATGGTGACACCAGATCTACTTTTCTCTGCCTAAATTTATTCAATTTATTCTTATTTGATACAAAATATCCGTAACTTCGTTTTGACACAATAAGAGTTTTTCCACCTCAGCAGTATTTGACAGACTTAAAATATACTGTAGAGGAAGATGACAATTAAGCCATGTTTACCTTTTTTTTGCATCTGCAAAAAAGTCAAGTCATCACCCTCCCTACTGGAATTTTGCCTAAATCAAGGTATCATTAAGAGCTATTTACTGCCTCAGTGTCTGAGAGGAATAACCTACCCACCAAGAGCATAGGAGAGTTCTCCTGGTCTTTATCAGCTGACAAAGATTTTGTAACTTTGGTGCTGTATGGGCTGTAGAAGTCTTGGATACTTCAAAAAAAGAATACACGTGCCACCGAGAACTGTGAGCATACGACAAATCAAAGAATTGAGCAAAACTTCAAATCATTTTTTTGTACATGTTAACAGCTCTTCACAGGCTTAGCATCTCTAGTGTGAATGCTTTCCTATTCCTCACTTCCTTTTGGGGCCCAAAGCCCAGTAAATCATTTTCCTCCAAATGGTTATAGCCAAGGCTGCAGGCACCCATCATGCAATGTTTTTCACTGCTCATTTCTATTTATCTGCATAATGTAGACCTTACCTTCAAATTCTCAGAGAGAGCAGAACACAGTAAAAGTGTATCAACAGAACGCCCTATTCCAGTATTCCTATATATACTACTTGAAGGCCCTAAATATGGCCTAATTAAGCTTATTTATTCCTATTTAGTAGATGGGGAAAACACTATCAAGAATTTAAATTACTCAAAGTTATGATAAAGCCAAAACTGTAATCCTACCTTATATCTTCTTACAAACTCCCTCCCTACTCCACACAGCTCAAAACACCAAACTTTTGATCAATGCATACCCCAGAGCTTGACTATGGAAGAGCTGACTTGAATTACCATATAAGTCATAAACAATGCTGGAAATACATAGTTTTAATAGAGAGAAGTACTAAAGAGGAAAAAAAAAAAAATGGAGTCATAGGTCTTTACTACACTGGTCAGTTTGCTTGCTCCTATAAGTGTCAGTCTCTTCAGAACAGACTTAAGTAGGATCACCCTCAGCACTATGGACAACTGCCAGGCTCATTCTTTGTGTTTTCCACACCATAAATAAATGGAGTTTGTTGCCACCAGCTAGCCTGACTGACGGACAAATTAAACAGCTTCTAAAACGAAAACAGATGGTCAATGATCTAACATGGAAGTTTTGTACATTTAGAAGCCCTCTGTTTCTGCTTACGTCACATAGCTTCATACAAAGTTAGTCAAAAATTGTCCACTACTGGGAGACCAGGTGGAGTGCAACCACCACTAGCTATTTCCTGTCTTAAAGGTATAGTGTGCGGCTTTCAGGAGTACTTTGAATTGGCAGTTTCTAGACAAACTAGATTCTGCTCCGAAGTCAAGTATCTTCACTTGAACCAGGTCTTGCCTGAAGCACTCTGCTGATACAGCTATGCTAATTAACCAATTCTGAAATAAACTTAATTCTTATTTACTTCCCAGCTTTTTCCCCCCCTACCATTTTTCCAAAATCAACTAGACTAAAACAGAAAAAGCAGAAGTTCTGGAACATGTAGCTTCCACAAAGCAGGCAACCCTTGCAAGTTGCTAACTAGTGGTGGCAGCATCCACTTCACCTACAAGCCAGGTCTGCAAACAACCTACACCCAGACCAAGGCAAGTTCATCTCCTCCTTGCAAATTGCTGGCAGTATGAAGTATCCTATTTATCAAACCAAAGACTAGGATTTCATGGGCAGGGAAACCCACATTTCAAAAGAATCATCTATTGCAACTCTGAAGAATTCTTCTGAGATACTGGAAAAAAAAAAAAATTAATTCTCAGCTGGGTAGTGCTAGAGCACAGTCAGAACGGACTCTGCAGGGGGCATGCAATAGATACAACAGGTAGGTCTGTTAAGGAAAAAACAGCTTTCTTAGAAATTTCAGTGCAGTAATGCAATTCACAGCTGAACAGTCACTATGGGGAAAAAATGTAGGATAGTCATTTGTCCTCCTGAAAAGAATTCAGTTCTGCAGTAAAAAACCAGAATTGGCAACTTGCCTGCTGTGCACACACAGTACATCGTTTTCCACCCAAGTTTTAATCCATGCATTGCAAATACAGAGTTTTAGCAATATGCTGGAGTCAGGATGCTCTGTTTCAGGTCAGCACGTACTGGAATGGCAAGAAGGTCTGATCTGCCTGTATGTTACAGGCTTGGAAACCTGAAGCTAAACAGCAGCGGATAAAGACCCGGGTACCTTTTTCACTCACCATAAAAACATACAAATGAAATCACAGAATGTGGTGCTGCTCTGAGATGCCATTATTCAGCCAACATACAAGGTCCTAGTTATACACACTCGAAGGCTGCGCATTAACTGTATTGAGCTCACCTACACTTCATCTAGCATAAAAAAAGGTGACAGTGACTTTGTGAAGACACACACATACAGTTTAAGTACTACCAATACTCTGCCTTCAAAAACCAAATCTACCAGTGTAAGTGCACGAGCAAAGATCTTCATTGTACTGTCTTGTCGTGGTTTAACTCTGGCTAGCAAAATACCACGAAGCCGCTCTCACAAATCCCCCTCCCCTCATGTCTGCTCCTTTATCAAGCATTCTGAACTCCTACAATACAAGTTACTCCAAATTACCAGCTGACCAGCAATTTTAGACAAGCATTCAGGTCCACTGCTGCCCCATCATACTAGAATTAAACAGGTTATGCACATATAGTATCAAATTCTTGATTTGGCAAGACCACACGCTTTAAGGGCTTTATTTAAAGAAATACATGTTTCTCTGACTTCTGAGCATATGAAATATCACGTGTAAAGCTGCTTATGTACTGCAATGGGGACAAATAGAGTTTTCAGTCAGGATGATTATGCCTGTCGCCTTAGCAAGCAACCTTCCTGCAGTGTCAGTGGGCCAGAGGAGGGATTCAACAGCAACATTCACATTTGAAGCACTGTGAAAAATTCTTAGAAGGCTTTTTTTTTTTTGGTGCAGGTTCACATGCATCCAATATAAACTTGGTCCACTCACAAGCTCCATGTATAGACAGCTTTCTTGATTTTTACAGACCTTCTATGGCTAATTAGAAGTGTTCACATACATTGTACGTGTTTGTGTGTGCGCATATACGCAGAACTCAGAGGTTCAACACAAGATTTGCATCGTCTTGTAACCCAGCAACAATGACAAAGGAAGAGATTACAATTCTAGCATTAAGATACAGTCCAAACATCATGTCTGTTACTATCATATACCCTTTTACACAAATATTAACACTTTCTAGAGGAAAGAAGTTTCATACATTAAATATTGACAAACTTTTAATGTATTAAATACATATTTATTCAATATTTTATTAAGATTATTAAAAAAAATAATCTTAGATACTCTTTATTTTCACAAGGTGTATGCAGTTATGATGAGTAACCTACACTTATGCTCTAACAGCCTAATCCAAACCCCATCAACTTTAATGGGCTTTAGATCGAGCAGGTGAGAGCACTGTAACAAACACTGTTTCAGGAGGTAATTCCCATGCAACATCAAACTATGACAAGACACAAGAGGCTAAAAATGGCTCATCATAATTTATTTTATGTTAAAATGTACAGCTTGGGGGGACGGGTGTTGTTTTTTGCAGTTTTTATTTTTGTTTCTTGGGTGGGTTTTTTGGGTTGTTTTTTTTTTTTTAGTGACTGACTAAAAAGATAACAGATAAATACAAGAGTGTCACTGGGTCCTATTTTTACATGTATCAAGCCTCTTCTGTTGGGCCCTTACAGTCACTCTGTACAGGTACAAAGGCTACAAAAAAGGAAGCAATATAAACAGACACAAATAACTTTTGCCTTTTTACATGCGATTTGTAAGCTTAGTTTGAGCTATTCACACGCTACTGCTCTATTTTTTCCCTTAAAAAATAACTCCAATATTTTATAAAGATAGAAAAATCTACAGATGGAATGAAAATGTAAAGTTAGAGGCATTTCCATAAAATAGCAACTTTACACCAAATTCACTACTTCTTTTTAAATCCTGCCAAGTATTTGGACATATATGAAAATGTTTCAAAACTTGACAAATAAACACTGAGATGTTTCAATCAACGAAAAAACATAACAGTATTTATAAAACAGAAAGCTGCCTTTTTTCCTACCCCAGCCCCAAAGAAACTGGTCACAAAAATGGAAAAGAGTCTCAACTTTACACTAAACATACAGCAATAAAACCCTTGGAACTAACCAAAATGTGAATAGCTTTCGCAGCCTTTTTTTATTATTTTTTACAAGGTTTATAATTAACAAAAATATAGTTCTGTTTTTCTTACCCCTCAAACTAGGGTAACCTAATCAAGGCAAAAAAATTAAGAAATGGCTTACTGTTAAGCACAACACTTGTACAGTACTACAAAATGCACTGTCACTAACAA